CGGGCTTCGAGGTCGCGGGCCTCCTCGCCCTGCTGGAGCGGCGCTACGGCACGGTGCGCGGCGCCGCGCGCGCCCAGCTCCTCGCGACGGCGCGGGGCGCCGTCGCGCGGGAGATCGCGCTCTGGTCCGCGCCGCGGCTCGACGCCGTCGACGGGTTGCTGCCGGTCGGCTGGGCGCCGCGCAAGGGCCTCGACCCGCCGGACGCCTGGCGCCGGGCCTGCGCCGCCTGCCACGTCTGCGCCCACGCCGCGGCGAGCTGCGAGGCCGTCGTAGCCGTCGACGTGGGCGGCCGGCCGCCGCCGTCGCTCCTCGCGGCCGTCGGAGGCGGCGACGGCGGGCCGTCGCTCATCGGCGGCGGCGCGGTGCTCAAGGCCGGCCTGGGCCTCGTGAAGCGCCTCCGCCGCAAGAACGGCGGACACGAGGCGGCGGCGCACGCGGCCGCGGGCCTCGACGACCTCGCGGCGCTGGGGGCGGACGCGCGGTCCGCGCTCGACGGCCTCGCGGACGCGTTCCTGCGGCGCGTCGCGCGCCTCGCCCACGAGTCGCGGCGCAAGGTCGTTGTGGACGACCGGGGCCGCGACCGCCTCGGCGACGCCTGGCTCCGCGGGTTCCTGGAGCAGTGCGCGCGGTCGCTGCCGCCGCCGCACCTACGGGCGCTCCGCGCGGGTCTGGCGACGCTCGAGGTCGACGCGCTCCTCGGCGCCAAGCACCGGCGGGCGGCGCTCGGCGGTCGCATCGCCGCGCTCCGCGACATCTTCGGCGACGCCGACGACGCCGCGGCGGCGCTCGCGCGGAGCCTCGGCGCGCTCCACGACCTCAACGGCCAGCGGCGCCGCGCGCTCCTCGACGCGTTCGCGGGCCTCGCGCCGCCGGACGACGCCAACCCGCGCCTCGAGGACAGCGTCGCCGTCGCCGACGACGCCGTCCAGGCCCAGCTCGCGGCCATGCTCGAGGCCAACGGCGTCGACGACCTCGACCCGCGCGCGGCCGCGCGGCTCCTCGCGGTGGCCGACTAACTACATTACTTACTCGTAATAAGGGAGGCTACGAAGCGTGGGCTGTTCGGCCACACGGGGTTTGAACGGAGCGAATGCTTCGATCTCGTCCACCGGTTTGTTGAACATGTGCTCCAGATGCCCGAAATAAGACACGAGGGCGTAATTCTCGTAAACGACGAACGTGTGCTCCGTATCGTAAGCGACTTCCTCCGTGATGTCCAACAACGAAGAAAGTGCGAAGAATTGATCGATTCTCGGATGAGTTTGGCCAGGAGAAATCACAAACTTCGAGCCCGGAATTTGACTGTGTTGCGATTTCACCCATTCAACGTTGTTCTTCAGCCACGTCTTCACCAGACTTTTCGTTCGGTGCGACCAGTCGCTGACGTCTTCGTCGGCAAGCGCGTCCATTCCGCCCTTCGGAAAAAAGGCGAACGTAGCGAGCGCGCGCCGCTGCCGCCACTCGAACGGCCCCACGTAACGGGTCACGCGCTGACGATCGTCCGCGCGTCGCATGAGATGGAGATGCCCCTCGGCCTCGGGAGCGAGAGGGGGCGAGCGGTCCAACACGCGCTTCTGTCCATATGTGAAATACCAAGCCTCGAGCGCACGGATTTCGTAGTCGCGAATCCCGTCCACGAAGTTTGAAGCTGGTTCTGCTAGTAAATTTGTGCTTTCGAGGAGCGCGGCGTAAGTCATGTGGACCGCGTCCCTGCCGCTCACCTTGCACGTCCATTCCACGCCGCGCCCGCTCACGATGATAGCAGGGAACCATCCGGACTTGGTGGAGTTCTTGCGCTGCGCCCACACGAGGCACTTCGTGCCCGCGGCGATGGAGTTCGGCGGGCACCCGGGCATCGGCGGCTGGTCTTGGGGGTCGTCGTCGAGTCCCATGGCCGACATTTTGGCGCTCGCGTGACGGTGGACGGACGAGGCGTGCGGTCGCGATTGTCGCTCTTTTTGAGAGCTCCACGCCTCTCCGAGCGGAATGGCCGGCTAACGAGCGCCGCGCGCCGCCGCGCGCGGCCTCTAGCGCATCGTTCGACGCGCTTTTTCTTCCTGCTGGCAGCTGTGGCCTAATATCTGCGTCGCGAACGCGTCGCGCGGGTCGGAGCGCTGCGCGCGCGCGCGAGAATCCCGTTGCGGATCGACGGCCGCTGCGGCTGCGTCGGCCCGGTCGCGGGCCGCGCGTGCCAGCGGTTGCTGGTGCGCTGGGACGCCGGGGACGTCGCGCGCGACGCGGCGAACTCGTCCGGCGCGTCGCGCGCCCCCGGCGGCGCCGGGTCGGGCCGCGCGGCTCGGGCTCGGCGTCGGGCGTCGAGCACGTCGCGGCGGCCGGCGCGCGCGCGCTCCCGGCGGTGGTCGCGGGCCTTCGGCCCGCGGAAGGCGTCGATCGGCGCCCAAACTCCGGCGCACGTGTTCCGATCACGGGCGCCGCCGACCGGCGGCGCGTTCACCGATTCGGCTACCGCGTGTCGAGCTCGCACTTCGAGCCCTTCCTCGAGCCCCTGGGCGAGACCGTGACCGGTCGCTTCGGCGAGCTCGTCAGGTTCATCAAGGCGAACTCGTACGTCGTCTTCCAGGGCGACAACTCGCCGACGACCCACTCGACGACGGAGTCGGCGGCGTGGCTCACGGAGACGGTCGCGCGGCCCGCCACCTGCTTCCAGAGCAGCCGCTACGACGAGCCCTACGCCGCCGTCCGCGCGACGCCCGAGAAGCCGCCCGAGAAGCCGCCCGAGAAGCCGCCCCAGACGACGCCCCAGACGACGATCTCCGACGCTGTGGGGTTCGCGCGAGCCGGGGGACGCGCGGAGAGGAAGTCCGCGCCCGGCGCTGCGGCCGATGCCCGGGCCTTGCCGTTTCTTCGGCGCGCGGCGCGCGATGCTAAGTGGCCCATGTCCGTGAGCGCGCGCCGCGGGCGTGTTTGTTACGCAACAAACAGCAGCATCGACTTCGCCAGGATGTTGATTCGCCGCCGAGGTCCCGTCGTCCCGGGGCCCAATTCGCCCAGCTGCATCGACACGACCGCGCGCGCGCTGTCAGGAACAAACGACAGCATGGACCTAGAAGCGCCCGTTCCGCCGAGCTACGCTATCGTCGAGGTGAACGCCGAGGGCGTCGTCGCGGCCGTCGGCGACTTCGACAGCTGGATGACCGCGCGCAGGGAGCACGTCGCCCAGCGTCGCTGCTCGCGCGCGCGCACCGCTCGCGCGCGCGCGCCACGCGCGCGCGCGACCACAGCCTGAGCCCACGCACCGCAGGTTCGGCGAGGTGCGCAACAGCGCCAATGGCCAGACCGCCAAGGAGGCGGGCAACTGGTTCGAGATCCGCTACGACGGCGAGGTCAAGATGACGTCCCAGGAGGAGCCGAAGAAGGGCACGAAGCGGAAGAAGAAGCAGTCGGAGCCACCGAAGCCCGCGCCGGTCGAGCCCGCCAAGCCGCTCGACGCCGCAGCGGTCGAGGGCCTGCGCGTCCGAACGCGGCGGCTGCTCGCGGAGAAGCGCGACCTCGTCGAGGAGTTCCGCACGCACTACCGGGGCGACCCCGCCGCCGAGGCCCTGCTCAAGGAGTTCGAGAAGGATGACGCGGCCAACGGCGCGCTCCGCCCGCTCATCGACTTCGAGCTCGACTCGCAGCCGCAGCAGGCTCCGTCGCCGCCTGGGCTGCCCATCACGGCCTTGCCGATGAACCACTGCTGCTTCGTGTACCGGCCGGACAAGAAGGACTGGTTCGAGGGCAAGGTGACCGGCGGCGAGGAACGCGCCGGCGGCGAGATCCTCTACGAGATCACATTCGACGAGAACGGGCATTCACGCAACGCTCCTCTGGTCGAAATCAGCCTGCAAAGGCCACCGCGCGGCGAAGATCCCTATGACAGCGCGACGACGATCTTTCGAATTGCCTACGTTGCTCCCGAGAATGAGCATAGATTCTTCAAAGACCCGAACTATTGGCGGCAGCGGCGCGCGGCGCTAATTGCATCGTGCGTTCCGAACGGCGGCATGAGCAGCATCAAGAAGAAGGGACCCGGAGGAAAGAGTATTAAGATGCAATGGAATCAGTGCACTCTGCATCCTCTCAGTAGCTACCTTGATCACCACCTGCAGTGGGTTCAAAAACTTCACCCGCAAATCGACCCTTCGTTGATTTCGACACCCGGTAACAGCAAGCATCGGAGGATCATACAATTCAGCGCGCCTTCAGTCATTTCCCCCTATCAGAACATGCCCTACGACACGGAGCACGGCTACTACCTGTTCCCCCGCTATGCCGAAGTCCGATTCTTCGGCTTCTGCGAAACACGGTGGAACCTGGGCTTACGTGGTACGGACGCCAACGAGCGCGCCGGCTTCCGCTTCGCCTACGGCTAGCTTAATTCGCCCGAGAGGTAGCGTCACATGTGAAGCCCCGTCGACGGCGCGCTGACGGCCCAGGCCATGGCCGCGCCGCTCCGCCTAATGGTCGATCATGCCCGTGCGCGCGCCGCGGCCACGGAGCGTGGCTTCCGTCGCGTTGACGCGCCGATCGACGAGGCGCAGGGCCGCGCTCGCCGGCGCGCGAGTGGCGCGCTCCCGGAGCGCGCGCGCCGCGAGCGCGAACTTGTCCCGCCGGCCCGCGCAGTGGTGGTCGACGACGCAGCAGGCGCCGGCAACGTTGGAGCAGGCCACACGTGGAGCAGGCGCTCTTTGCGAACACGCCCGTCTCCGCGGCGAAGCATGTAGTTCCATGGGCGAGCCTCGTTTTAAACGGCCCCTAGCAGGATCGGCTCTGGATCTCCTCGTCGACGAGCAGCTCGAGGCGCGTCGGCGAGACGTCGTCGAAGGCGGGCTTCTTCTGGGCGCGCGCCGCGGCGATGCGGCCGGGCCAGGCCGCGGTCTTCGCCCGGGCCATCAGCTGGCTCGCGACGGCGGCGATGATGGACTTGTGGAGCCGCTTCGCCTCGCGGGCCCGCGCGCGCGGCGTCGCGGCGGCGAGGCGTCGCTGGAGCGACGCGACGGCGCGCGACAGCGACGACCGCCGCCTCGGCCGGGGCGTCGCGTCGGGGGCGTCGGCCTCGTCGTTCTGCGCCGGCGCCGCGCGCGAGACGACCGCGGCGACGAAGGAGTCGGCCGTCGCGGCGGCGGCGGCCTTCAGGCGCCGCGCGGCCGCGGCGACCTTGGCGGCGCGCGACGCGCGGGCCGGCGTCGGCTCGGCGCGCGCCGCCGAGGCGCGGATGCTCGCCTGGAGCTGGGCGATCTCGCCGGCCGTGAGCCGGGGCTCGAGGACCTCCTGGAGCGCCAAAACGAA